CATGACTCAGTTGCCCACAGACACAGAGACTGGCGTGCATTCGGGCACACTGGCCTGCACACACACACCCTGTCATGTGCTTACACAGATGTACATGTCTGGACCCAAACAGATATGGATACCCACTCATGCACACACACACTCTGCAGACAGGTGTGTTCATAAATACATATATCAACATGGACACGCGGATACATACATGTGCTCAGATGTGCAAAGATCTCACACACGTGCCCAGAATGACACACGTATACCCCTTATACATCTGATGTATAAATAAGAAGATACACAACAGAGGCCTCTAGGAGAAGCCACTGCACACACTGGCATGAACAGAAAGATCCAGAAGCACACAAGAGGGTTGAAGGGCAGGCTGACTTGCAGGGAAGATAAAGAACAAGACAGACAGACACAAGGGGAGACAGATGATGGGCAAGCTGCTGTGTGGGGGCCATGCCTCCCCACCCCCAAACAACCCCTGACCCCCCTCCTCACACAATGCCTACTCCATCATCAATGCTGCCTCCAAGGTTAATGTTCCATTTGCAGCTCCAGGGAGAGGGCGCAGCTGTGTCAAAGAAGGAGGGACAGGCAGGTTCCCTCAAGGCTTTCTCTCCCTTCCTCCTTTACCAAAGAAAAAGGATTCAGAACTTTAGACCAGAGCATATAAAATCTGGAAGGGGGTTTAGAGAATCCCTTACTTCATCCTGAGGATCAAATAGGAACAGCTACTATTTGTTGGCACTTCAAACCCATGAATCAATGACTCCTCCCATAATAAGCTAAGAGGCACATCCTGTCATTGGCCGCAGGAGGCTCAGAGAGGTGAGGCGACCTGCTCAAAGCCCCACAACAAAGAAGCGATAAGGTATTCCAGTCCATGTCTTAACTGCACTCTCGACTGCTCTACCATTGTCCAGAAAGGGAAACTGAGTCCCAGGGAGGGAAAGAGATTTTCCTGGGCGCTCCCCTAACTCATCCCGGAAGCTGATGGCCAGGCCCTTGCACGCCGGCCTGCCACACTCCTGCCTCTGAGGGAGAAGTCACATGACGACAGATGCTAGCCTCCCTCCATGTTGCCAGGTTACCAACAAGGCCAAGCGCACTTGACGTCTCTGCTGCTAAGTACTTCCGTCGGCCACATGCCCTACTCCTCCTCAACTCATGGCAGCCTGTCTGAAGGCTCAGTGCCCTGGCTGGTGCCAACCTCAGTGACAAACAAACTCTTGAAATTCTACCTCCCTCCTTGCCAAGGAACAGCAAGGGGAAGGCGGGGCTGGGGATGGGGCGCAGGCTTGTAGCCAGCCCAGGTGTAGGCTGGTGATTGGGATTAAGGGGACTGATACCTGCCAAACCTGTGCTAATCCTTCCCTCCTCTGCTCCCTTTAAAACCAACAAACAACTTTTCTCTGTTTTGTTCTCTGCTCTTTGTTCCCTGCCCACAGGATTCCAGCTTAGAAATCTAGAACACTTCGAGCAACACGGCAGGCCTGAGAGTGCCAACCTACCCACCTGCACTCGTCCAAAGTTGGAGCTGGCCTCTGAGTGGGCAGAGGGAGGTTTCTAACTGTCAGATGCTGGGTCCCCCATGGGGGCCCCTGTCAGGCCCACGGAAGACCAATCCAGCACCCACATGGTGCTCATGTCACAGCCGGCTGGGACCACCGAAGAGCTACATGGTGCCACCCTGATGACCCCCAGAAGCCAGCCCCAGTGGTCACCGGGGCCTACTCTCAGACCCTCCTGGCGCCAGAGGTGGCTCTGTGAGTGTTCTCCTGGCATCAAGTTCAGGGTCAACTTGCTTTCAATTCCTGTGTCTAGTGGGGACGAGCTGATGCCAACAGCAGAAGTTGCTAGCGAATCTCTGTGTCCAGCGCCGATGCCAATCCCACATCACCCCTTGCTAAATTTGGTCTCCACTTGGCCCTCAGGGTGGGCTAGGCCAGTCAGTGGAGGAAGGAGAGGACAGGCTTCAAACCCCAGCTCCCTTACCTGCTATCTGGATGTGACCTCGAGCAAGTGGCAGTAGGGGAGGCCTGCTCTTCTGAACAGCAAAAGGAGAATGCTATGAATGGGCCCCCCTGCTAGAAGGATTCCATGAGGCCACATGTCCACACACTGGCTCTGCACAATGAGTGCTCGCCAAAAGCTAGCGCCCTATTGTTAAGGAAGAAGGTCGCCCGCCGAGGGAAGGACAGCAGGGCCGCCATCTTCCCTCACTCCCACTTCCGGCCTCCAGGGCCTGGCTCTCTCCCCACTCAGGAGTTTTCCCAAACCTCTCCCGCCATCGCTCCCTCTGTGTGCTGCCAGCAGCCCTGCCAAACCCAGAATCACCCCAGAGGGACCTCCCACACCCTCCCACCCCACCTCCTCTTCTCGAGTGCCCCCTTCCCACTGGTGGGGAAACCCAGCCCAGGAAGGGGGAGTAAGCATGCAGACCAGGAGACACAGGAGCCCCTGCCCTCCCTCTGTTGTCTGTCCTCAGGATTCTCACACACCAAATGGGAACATTAGTAACATGACTACTAACAGCAACAATGGAAATGATGAACCTAGTGAGCTCCCCCAGGGATCTGGGTAGGACCGGTGAGGCTTTCTGTAAATTATGCCCCTTGAGACAGTTGGGACTCTTTGGCACCATATGGGTGGATGTCATTACTATTTCCAAGTCCTGCCCAGGCCCTCTGCCCCAGAGACCACAAGTTACTCTTCCTTCCTAAGAAAGGTTCCACTTAAACGTGGCTCTGGACTTCTACCCCTTTCCCAACCACAGACAGGCAGTGACACTGATCCTGACCTTGCTCTGAGGTCCCAGTGGGGATTCCGGGCACCAGTGGAGGTGCTGTGTCCGAAGCAAAGGTCGGTCAAAGCCTGGGGGAGGTACCGACTGATCCTGCTGGACTCCCGTATACTTCTGGGAACTCCCATCACAGCCAGGGGTCCTCCCTCACCCCAAGACCCTCAGATCCACTCCCTGGGATCTCTTGATCTCGGCACCGATCTTGATCTCATGGTCATGAATTCAAACCCAGCGTAGGGCTCCAGGCTGGGTGTGGAGTCTACTTTAAAAATAAAAAGGGTCTCCCTGGCTCTCTCCCCTCTCAGGAGTTTTCCCAAACCTCTCCTGCCATCGAGAGGGGAGATCCCAGGGAGTGGATCTGAGGGTCTTGGGGTGAGGGAGGACCCCTGGCCGTGATGGGGGTTCCCAGACGTGTACGGGAGTCCAGCAGGATCAAAGAGTCGGTACCTCCCCCAGGCTTTGACCGACCTTTGCTTCGGACACAGCACCTCCTCTGGTGCCCAGAATCCCCACTGGAACCTCAGAGCAAGGTCAGGATCAGTGTCACTGCCTGTCTGTGGTTGGGAAAGGGGTAGAAGTCCAGAGCCACGTTTAAGTGGAACCTTTCTTAGGAAGGAAGAGTAACTTGTGGTCTCTGGGGCAGAGGGCCTGGGCAGGACTTGGAAATAGTAATGACATCCACCCATATGGTGCCAAAGAGTCCCAACTGCCTCAAGGGGCATAATTTACAGAAAGCCTCACCGGTCCTACCCAGATCCCTGGGGGAGCTCACTAGGTTCATCATTTCCATTGTTGCTGTAAGTAGTCATGTTACTAATGTTCCCATTTGGTGTGTGAGAATCCTGAGGACAGACAACAGAGGGAGGGCAGGGGCTCCTGTGTCTCCTGGTCTGCATGCTTACTCCCCCTTCCTGGGCTGGGTTTCCCCACCAGTGGGAAGGGGGCACTCGAGAAGAGGAGGTGGGGTGGGAGGGTGTGGGAGGTCCCTCTGGGGTGATTCTGGGTTTGGCAGGGCTGCTGGCAGCACACAGAGGGAGCGATGGCGGGAGAGGTTTGGGAAAACTCCTGAGTGGGGAGAGAGCCAGGGAGACCCTTTTTATTTTTAAAGTAGGCTCCACACACAGCCTGGAGCCCTATGCTGGGTTTGAATTCATGACCATGAGATCAAGACCTGTGCTGAGATCAAGAGTCCAATGCTTAACTGACTGAGCCACCCAAAAACCTGCTCCCCTCCTGAGACCTTTAAACATGCATTCCTCCTCATCAAAAACCCCAAATCCACAACGACAGCCACACATGCTGTCCCATTTCAACTCATTCTTTCTTCTTTCTTTCTTTTCCTTTCTTTCTTTCTTTCTTTTCTTTTTCTTTCTTTCTTTTTTTCTCTTTCTTCTTTCTTTCTCTTTCTTTCTTTTTTTCTCTTTCTTCTTTCTTCTTTCGTTTTTCTTTCTTTCTTTCTTCTTTCTTTTTTCTTCTTCTTTCTTCTTCTTTCTTCTTTCCTTCTTCCTTCCTTTCTTCCTCTCTTTCTTTCTCTTTTTAGAGAAAGAGTGAGGTAGCACTGGCAGGGGGCAGGGGAGTCGGGGGGACAGAGGGCAGAGGGAGAGCAGGGGCAGAAGGAGAGGGGGGTGCAGAGGGAGGAGAGGGAGAGATAGAATCTTAAGAAGGCTCCCTGCCCAGCCCAGCGCAGAGCCTGATGCTGGGCTCATCTCACAACACTGAGATCATGAACAGAGCCAAAATCAAGACTCAGAAGCTTAACTGACTGAGCCATCTGGGCACGCCCCATTCCAACACTCTTAAACCCAGATCTCTGGATTCTTTTCTCTGGAGACCTAAAAATCCACAATGTTAGGGTCCCTTCTCACTCTGAGACCGAAAATCCAAAACTTAGGGGGCTCCACATACAAGTATTCTAAACTCCTCAGTTCTGGAGTTTGTCTACTGCTTCAATCAATTCTACAGCCCTGGGGTGGTCCCTCCTGAGGGGCAACACACTCTGTCTTGGGGCCTACTCCTTGTTAATCCTCCTGGGGTCCCCTCCTCCTGCCTCACTGGCTGTGTGCCAAGCTCAGCAGTGAGCCCAGGGTGGGCGGGGGTGTACCTGGAAAATGAAATGGTACAATTATATAATCAGCACCTAACTCCGCCTTTCTCTCCCAGTTCGTATAAAGTCAAACCAGCCCAGCCGGCACCATCTGACCGTCTCTCCCAGTGCCACCATGCTGGCCTCAGGGCTGCTTCTGGTGGCTTTGCTGGCCTCCCTGACCATAATGGTCTTGATGTCTGTCTGGAGGCAGAAGAAACTCTGCGGGAATCTTCCTCCGGGACCCACCCCATTGCCCTTCATCGGAAACTACCTGCAGCTGAATACACAACAGATGTACAACTCTCTCATGAAGGTGTCAGGACATGGGATGGGTGGAATGGGGGTGGGGCTGGAAGCCTGCCTAAATGAGCTGGGACTTGGTGGCAGGGGATGGGCAAGGTTGGACCAGAGTCTTAAGAAAGTGGAAATTTGCAGGTTTGGCCAGCAGGGTCCTAACAAGAAAGAGCCGATTTGGGGATGTCCAGCCCCTTGAGTATCAGAACCTGGAGGAGATGCACGCAGTAGGGCAGGGCTGGGCACAGGGCCAGTTCCCAGTGCGGGCCGCAGCCTCTAAGCACTCCCACCTCCATCAGATCAGCGAGCGATATGGCCCGGTCTTCACGGTCCACCTGGGGCCCCGGCGCATCGTGGTGCTGTGTGGATACAAGGCGGTGAAGGAGGCTCTGGTGGACCAGGCTGAGGAGTTCAGCGGCCGAGGTGAGCAGGCCACCTTGGACTATCTCTTCAAAGGCTATGGTGAGGCGCTCCGGGTGGGAGCGTGTGGTCAGGCACACTTGGCCTCAGTTTCCCCACTGTGCTTCTCCTGACTCACTCACCCAAGGCTGTGGCCGAGTTCTACCCCTGCTTCCCTCTGTGCTTATCCCTGGTTCTCCTGGCCTCTCCTTGGTCTTCTCTAGCTTGACTCAGGGTGTCTGAGTCTCCATTCCCCCTGCTTCTCGGCCCACCTCTCTGTTCTCTCTCACGGATGCCTCTTCTTTCTCTGGGTCTGGGAGGAGTTCTGTGGGATTTCTGCCTTGGAGCCCGGTCTTCAATCCCCGTGTCCTTGCCTCTTACTCCTTCTCAGCTTCTGAGCTTCCCCGGGCTTCTGCCTCCCTCTGTCTGTCTTTTCCTCCTCTGTCTGAGAATCTCACCTTATTTCTGCTTCACACCCCATGCCTTCAGCTCTGGAAACGTCTTCTCCTCTCTCCAGACCCTCTCTGTTGTCTTTCCGTATTTTCCTCTTTCTCCAGCTCAGCGTTAGGATCCTCCGTGATTTTTATTGCCACTTCCCCGTTCTCCACGGAGGTTGGGCTCCTCCTCCCTCCCTCTCTCCCTCTGCTTATGTGTCTCCGCATGTAGCTCCGTGTCTCTGGGCATCTGACTTGCCTGGCTCCCTCTGATTCTTTTCTTCCAACCCGGTCTCTATCTCTTTCAGTACTTCTCTGACCCTGAGTTGTATTTCTCCCTGTCTCCCTCACCCCCCAACCCATCCTCCCACTCTGGGGTCCGCTCACCTCTGCCCCCCTCTGTCCCCGCCCCTCCCCGCCTCACCACACCCCTGCGCTCCCTCCCCAGGCGTGGTATTCAGCAACGGGGAGCGAGCCAAGCAGCTCAGGCGCTTCTCCATCACCACACTGCGGGACTTTGGAGTGGGCAAGCGCGGCATTGAGGAGCGCATCCAGGAGGAGGCGGGCTTCCTCATCGAGGCCCTCCGGGGCACACGCGGTGAGCGGCGGGGGAGGGGGGCAGGGGGGGGAGTGAGCAAGAAGGAAGGGTATACCCACACGGACGCACCCTTTCTCCACTGGGAAGGGGACTGGCTTGGGGGAAGGCATCAGGGCTCCAGGCTCTGGGGTCTTGTGCTGGAAGTCTGGCTCCTCACTCCAGTGCCCTCCTCCAATACTCAGGCTGGCATCACACCGCCCAGTTGACGCTCCCCCAAATCCCTGTCTCTTCGCCAACTCATCCCATTCCCCAGGTGCCTTCATCGATCCCACCTTCTTCCTGAGCCGAACCGTGTCCAATGTCATCAGTTCCATTGTCTTTGGGGACCGCTTTGACTACGAGGACGAAGAGTTCCTGTCACTGCTGCGTATGATGCTGGGAAGCTTCCAGTTCACAGCTACCTCTATGGGGCAGGTAACCTGTCCCAGTCTGGCTCTACAACACCCCTACCACAACCCACCAATTCCTTTCCCCCATGGAAACGGGTGCCCCAACTCCCATCCTCCTCCAGACCAGGTTCCATCAAAACCACTCTTGTGACAATGGAATGCTTACACCAGAACACCCACTTTCCAAGGAAACCTGGATATCTCAACAGATGCTGCCCCCAACCAAAAAACCAAAAACCAAACCAAACAAACAATGAACAGAGCCTGCAGGCAAGGTACATGTTATTGGCCCAGCCATGCCGCCTGCGGATGTGTTCCCATCCCAACTTACCTACTGGTCCCTATTACGACAGTCTAACTCTTAATACCTTAATACCTGAACAAGTGACCACCTCAGCCCACCTCCTGAATACCTGAACACCTGGCTCTATAAAATCCAGCCTGCCAAGTCATTTGGTAATTACACAGGTGTCCCAAACCACGTAGAGAAGTGCCCCTATAGAGCCCGCTGAAACACCTGAACATCTGGACAGGTGATCCAACCAAGAAGACCCCTACACATGGAAATACCTGGATAGATGTTTCCCCAAACACCCAAATCGTGTCCCCAACCCAGCTGACTCACTTACAGAAGTGCCCCCCATCAGCCCCTGTGAATATCTGAAACACATGAACAGGTATCTCCCCCACCTCAACACTTGCATACCTGTCCCACTTTCACACCTCAACCCCCATACAGAAGCCACCATTCTATATCCCTGAAATGTCTGGATAGTTGTCTCCAACTGAGCCTACTCCATACCTAGAGATCTAAACAGGTGATCCACCATATCGGTCAGAAAAAATAGGTCAACACCTGAACAGGAGTCTCCCAAATCAATCACATCTGAATATCTGAACACCCAGATGTGTTCTCCAATCCAGCCTCACCCCAATACCTGAAACCTGGATACGTGTCCCAACCCATCTCACCTACATTCTGGGAAAGAGGCCCTCACACTCACGTGAAACTTAGCTATCTCCTCCCATCAAGCTCCGTATAAATCCTAAACACCTGCACAGGTGCCTTTAACCCACTGCCTTCCTTGGCCTGAGAAAGGTCCCGCTCCCAGCAGGACCTGCCAGTGAACAACTATCCTTCCCTTTCTACTCTCACCATCCTCAGCTCTATGAGATGTTTTCCTCAGTGATGAAGCACCTGCCAGGGCCACAGCAACAGGCATTTAAGGAGCTGCAGGGTCTCGAGGACTTCATAGCCAAGAAGGTGGAGCAGAACCAACGCACCCTGGACCCCAACTCCCCGAGGGACTTCATCGACTCCTTCCTCATCCGCATGCAGGAGGTACAGCCCAGCAGCCAGGGCGGACAGCAGCAAAGCCAGGCAGAGGGAAACCAGGTGCCTTCATCGATCCCACCTTCTTCCTGAGCCGATCCGTGTCCAATGTCATCAGCTCCATTGTCTTTGGGGACCGCTTTGACTACGAGGACGAAGAGTTCCTGTCACTGCTGCGTATGATGCTGGGAAGCTTCCAGTTCACAGCTACCTCTATGGGGCAGGTAACCTGTCCCAGTCTGGCTCTACAACACCCCTACCACAACCCACCAATTCCTTTCCCCCATGGAAACGGGTGCCCCAACTCCCATCCTCCTCCAGACCAGGTTCCATCAAGACCACTCTTGTGACAATGGAATGGTTACACCAGAACACCCACTTTCCAAGGAAACCTGGATATCTCAACAGATGCTGCCCCCAACCAAAAAACCAAAAACCAAACCAAACAAACAATGAACAGAGCCTGCAGGCAAGGTACATGTTATTGGCCCAGCCATGCCGCCTGCGGATGTGTTCCCATCCCAACTTACCTACTGGTCCCTATTACGACAGTCTAACTCTTAATACCTTAA